TCAGGTTGTAATGTGTTTGGCCCGTGGGCCGTGCCAGCACCAGCCCATAAAGGCTACAGGCCACAAACCCTTGGCCCAGCCCGGTCATAGGGGGTACCACTATGGCTGTGAATCATGTCGGCCTGTGGGTGGCCCAGCCTGTTTTACACCTAATGTAAATTTTGTGAGACTTGATTCATGGAGTTGCAATTATTGGAAACGAGTTATCGGGAAAACTGTTTGGTCCTAAATGCAGGTTAAAGTATTTTTGTATTTTTCCCTTTTTATCCTGTTAATATATATATATATATATATATATATATATTTATTCTCTTTTTACCTTGTGCTTTATGTTCCCAGACACTATCAGTCTACCTCCAGCCTGACAGCCTGGTTTGTTCACAATGCGAGACAGATTTGGGGGAGTTAGGATTTCCTGCACTCGGTTTCCTTTGTGCAGGGGTGCACTCCCAATCAAATTGGGACGCGTCAGAATTTGTATAGAACTCTAACTCAGATATGTAGTTTAAATCTGTTACTTTTGCTTTTTAATGCTTAAAAAAAATAAAAGGAAAGGTGAAAACTTTAACCGCAAGACTATATTCCAATGCAATTTTTAATATCGTCTGTAAAACCCTAATTCCCTTTTCTTTGTTTAACATAGAATGAAAGAAGAAATCGGAACTCCAAATAGAGAGCTATAACTCCATAAATGCCGATTTCCACGGGTGAAGACATTGTATAGAAAACTCTCAAGAGATTTGTGAAGCATATGAAATCTTGACTGATGAGTATAAAGAAAACTAACCTGGTGCATTTACAAACGATTGCAGACCAAATAAGGGTGGAAATCATTTGCAAGTAATTGTTTTAGGTGCCCATCATTTCTTCTTCATTCAAGTACTCTTATTTTTTCAAAACACCTGTAGCTCATTTTGAATTGGATTCGGTAATGGCTTTCTTTTTATAGGATAATTAATGTTTATTAATTCTGCTCCTGAACTTATATCAACTTCAAGACTTCTGAATCTTTACCTCAATCAATTGGATATAACATACACTAAAGTCATCAAAACAGTAAGATTTATCGGTTTTTTGCATGGTTTTCAAAACCGGACCGAATCGGATGGTCGGACCGAAAAACGAGAATCAGTCACTTGAATAGTTTCATTTTCCTTCAAAACCGTTGATTTTGGTCAGAAAACCGTTGAACCGATCGATTAACCGTTTGAACGGTTTTAACCGTTTTTCAATTTTTTGTCAGAATAGGCCGACTGTTCAAATCAAACGGTCAAACTGTCCGAACCAATAACCGGACCCCTAACCGATTCAGTCACCGGTTCGATTTAAAAAACCATGGTTTTTTGCTTCTATTCTCATTTGTGGATAAAAGACACTGAACCTTGACATAGAGAAAGCAAGTTTAATATGGAGGAGCTATGCTAGCAGTTTAGTATAAACATTTCGACACCAGAATTTTTTCCCCTGCAATCGTTGTTAATGGCATCCACTACGGAAGGGTTTGGTCTGTAACAGTGTTCTGTTTTTTTCCTCTTTAGTCTTTACCGTCTCTCGAACTTAGCGGCGGTCAAAGTATCTATTTTACTCTTTCTTTTACTTTTTAATTTGAAAAATGAGATATTGAAAAAAAAAAGTGATGCACACGGTCCATTTAAATGACTTGTACATGTGACCTGAGATGCCATGCGAATTCTGACGTGTCCCAATTTAATTGGGAGTTCACCCCAGCACACATGTAACCAAGTGCAGAAAATCCGAACTCATTTGGAGCATAATATGATTATGTCTCTCTTCTCAAAGATCCGATAAAATTGGAGCATAAAGGTCAAAATATTGGATTGCAAGCACTTGTACAATGGATATTGATCGTTCACTACTTCAAAAGCTATTTCATAAAATGTGATCCCTTACAACTCGAAGGGCTAGAAGAGTTGGACAATAAGGAAAAAGACTTGGGTGAAAGTAAAGAAAATGATCTAATCATCCATAATTTAACTATGGATATGATACTGAACATAATGGAACAACAAAGCAGGACTCGTGTGGCCGATCTCATATTAACTGGGACAGGGTTGAGATGATCGGATGATTATAACTTCTTCAAAAGATGTTTCATCCATCAGCCCAGAAAGCTACCCGATCGAGCCGCGGGTTGAATGGTTCACGCAGGTGGTTTGCCAGGTGAAAATTGAAATGATCAAAACCGTATTAAAAATCTGGCCAGGCCGCTGGGTCGCTGGTTCAATTCTAGATATATGATTGATTGCTTAGTTAAAGGTGACACTCGCAGAAGCCCAAAGTGCAACTGGGTTGGGGGTTCCAATGTATGGTGAGGAAGGTGTGGCTGAGAAAAAAATCTAGCTCTTGATGACTACTGGCTACTTGACCAAGACGACAAGTAAATACGCTTGCGACAAATTGAACCAATAAGAAGAGCAAGTAATATTGAACTCCAACTCATCTGTCCTATCCGAGACTGGATCTGCTCCTCACACTCACCTCAGAGACACATTTCACTGTACATTGAGAATATCTTTCATACTTATGTATTATTATTTATGAAAGATATTCTCAATACATAGTAGGATGTATATGTAAGATACAATCTGTGTGAGGAGAAGATTCCAATTCGTTTTATCTATCACCATGATTGAGTGATAGATACCATAGGGTAGGGAGTGTGGGGTTGGTTTCAAAAGGGCGGTTGCATCGAGCTCCATACAAATAAAGAAGAATAGGAAAAACTATAGAGAGTGATAAGAGCAGTCTCAGTCTCAACTCTCAAGTCTCGACTTTGCTTTTAGAAGATAAGACTAGGACAACACCTTTTCTCTCTAACACGCGACCCTGGTCCAGTGTCCACCACACGAATATACTACTTTATACTCCAGGAGTCTTGTGGATGTTCACTCATACGGTCGGATGTTGCTATTTTTCTTTTCTCAAAGCCTTGATAGAAATAAGGGAGAATGACCAATCAGCTCAGATAAAAATTTTATAGTCCTATAGTACACGGGGAATGCATCTGATTGTGAATTGATGCCAACTTCACGGATAGAATGTGGTTTATAGGGAGGAAAGGGCTAATAGTAGGGGAGGGGCTGAAATTCATAATTCTGCATCGGATGTATTCGTACTTCTCCATAAAAAAGAAAAATAAAAACAAATAACATGCATCTGTGTATATAAAATCCAAGACATATTTATTGGTGAACTTAGTTTAAATATCATATTTTTTAAGGAAAATTTTATAATGCCAGAAGAAGAAGGGTCTGTCTGACCAGAAATACCAGTTGATTGCTTATCACTTCCTTCTATCACACCCGTTGATTGGTTATCAACTTTTAAGTATCATGCCTTCTCATGTCATCATGGTCGGACTCTTTCATTAAAGACTCCCACCAAATTGTTAATAGTGTATAACATACTTAAGGCAACTCGATTTTCCCATCACTTTTATTTTATTTTATGGATTTTTTGTAAAAAGGAAGTTTCTTTAGGGAAAATTCCTAATCAGTAAGTAGTATCTTGTACTTTTGGGGTTATGTCAAGACAGTCTCTGAACTTTAAAACGTCTCTACAATATTYTGAAATTTTAAATTGTGTCTAATAGGTCCCTACCATTAATTTACCGATAGTCAGCACTGCCACATGATATCAGATGTACGTTAAATAATTTCAAAATAGCAAAATTATCCTTTATTATATTTTTTTGACCATTTTACCCATTTTGTCTGAGTGTTAAAAGAATAAAAGGGAAAAAATGGTTATGAAACCGAACACTGATCAACCGTTGAAGCTCCCGCTCCCCGGACGTGCAAAAGAAGGCTGTAAGAACTCAGCATTAATGAATGCGACAATTCTCAGCCATAGTCGCTGCATCTGAAACACTTTCATTTCAAGCTGCTCAGCTATTGAATTTGTTTATATGAAAGTGGCAGGTAAAAAAAATCAGATAACACCTAATGGGTATTTCTATCATTTCATTTAACTATTAACGGATGATAACGGATAATAGGAACCTATTAGACACAATTTGAAAATGTGTATTGCAGGAACACATTTTAAAGTTTGGGGACTGATTAGAAATTTCCCTTTGTTTTATTATGATTAAAACTTATGTTCGTAGAAGCAGGTTGCTGAAAAAGTAAGGCCTTAAGAGGGTGTTACATGGTTGGTTTTGATTTTTTTGAGTTGTCAAATACCCCTTAAATGAATAAATGATTAATTAATGAATATAAACGTGAGAATAAAAGAAAACCATAAATGAGGATCTCCTAATAATGAAGAAAGTTAAATACAAATAGGACCCAGTGCGACATTGCCCATAAGTTCCTTAATATGAAGTATTTGATCCATAGTCCCTACAAGTTCAAGAACAATAAAGGCCGGATTCAAATGTATTCTAATATATCCGAATCCGACCCGTTTACAGCTCTATCATAAATCCCAATTGGATGAAGAGAGGGACAATGTCACTTCTGGGTTCTGAACTTCTGATTGACCGATTCGATAGAAACAATCTTTAAGTTATTGTTTGATTCTTAAAGGCAATATTCCCACAAGCAAAGAAGATATTCCTTCACTAGACGCAACTATAGAGAGGCATTAGAAAAACACTAACTGACATCATATAGAACCCAACCCAAGACCCAAGTCACATTGTAAGTCCATTATCAAAAAAAAAAGAAAAGAAAAAAAAACCGTAAATAAGGCCCAGGAACAAGCAGGCCAGGTAGTAACCCAATTACCCAAGGGTTCAGAAAAAAGTGTGTCGGGTTTCAAAGCCCAATTCTGTTGCAAAGCCCATTGTACAGGCCCAAAAACGATTACAAGAAAATGAGTTATCCGTTACCAAAAATCTTATTTAGGTCTGCGTGCACGGTGCATCTCCTAACAAGCTGGACTTTTATTACCGTACAAGAATTTAATTTTTAATTTTTGTTTTTTGTACGTTAAAAATTCAACCTTTTTAGTTGACAAAAGAGGAAAGTCTGGAGTTTGGACTTTGCAAGGATCTCTCGTCTGGCTAGAAAGTGTTTCTGATTTTTCTTTTTCTGCATACGCTCTCGGCTCTCCCGCGTATGATCTTCTTCTCCTTCGTCTTCTACTACTTCTTCTTCTTGGAAATCCTATCTTCTGATAATATCTTTGTCAAGGGTGTAAAAGATCATGAAAGCTACTTCCACCCCTTTGATTCTCTCTGTATAATCTCTCTATCGGATGTGACTCCACCTCTCTCTCTCTCAAAAATAATTGTGTATGGCGACAACCCGAATCAACCAAATCCGGAAGCGATCTCCAAACCCTAATCCTTCCGAGTTCCGACTCTCTTTTATACACCATCCTACTTCAATCTATCATCATCCCTCAAATTCATCTACATGGCCACGGACGCCTCTCCCAAGTTCCATCAGAACCCCGACTTTCGAGCAGTCCCTCAACCCTCCGATTTCCACCCCGAGATCACCGTTGCTTCCCACGATGGCCTTGAATTCTGGCAGTTCATGATCGCCGGCTCTATCGCCGGCTGCGTGGAACACATGGCGATGTTCCCAGTTGATACCCTTAAAACACGCATGCAGGCCCTCGGGTCCTGCCATTCTCATCAGTCCTTTGGCCTCCGGCAAGCCCTTCGATCAGTTTTGCAGCATGAAGGCACAATCGGCCTCTATCGAGGAATTGGTGCGATGGCTCTTGGTGCCGCTCCCGCTCACGCAGTTTATTTTTCTGTCTACGAGTTTTTCAAAGAGTACTTGTCATCTGGGAATCCGAACAATTCGGCTGCCCACGCTGTTTCGGGAGTGTTTGCTACTGTTGCGAGTGATGCCGTGTTCACGCCCATGGATATGGTGAAGCAGAGGTTGCAACTGAGAAGTAGTCCTTACAGAGGAGTGATGGATTGTGTTAGAAGGGTGTTGAGAGAAGAGGGTTTTGAGGCGTTTTATGCCTCGTATCGAACTACTGTGTTGATGAATGCCCCGTATACTGCCGTTCATTTTGCGACGTACGAGGCTGCCAAGAGGGGGTTGATGGAAATATCACCGGAGAGTGCGAGTGATGAGCGGCTGGTAGTCCATGCCACGGCTGGGGCCGCTGCTGGGGCTTTGGCTGCTGCTGTGACAACACCGCTCGATGTTGTCAAGACCCAGTTGCAGTGCCAGGTAAAAACTTATAGGTTCTTTATCATTGTTACTTTGTACTTTTGTTTGGTAGAATATGTTGTACACTTATACTTCATTTTGGTATGTGGTTATGTATTTATCACCAATCAGTTCTATCTTGTTACTTTCTGGGCACTTGAACAAGCAGCGAATTGTCATAATTGCTAGATATGACATTTGGAACTACTGAATTAGAAGGTGAATAGGCTTCTAGGCTTATGGTATGGTTTTCAAACGAGCTTAATCAATTTTCCTGCTTGGGCCGGATTCTATGTGCTTCTAGGATGTGGTGTTACATTTACAATTTATTTATTTTCACAATCAAAATGCTACAGATATCCAACAAATCTTAAGAACCTAGTCAAATCTTGAAAATATTTCAGTACAAAATAAATCTCTTGTATATCAAATCGGGTCCATGTGCGTTGACAACTAAAATTTTTGGGAGTGCTGTGAATGGGCATTTTTTTTTGAGACTTGCCCCAATTTACTAGGCTTGTGCTTACCGATGAATATTTGCAGGCCCATGAAATTGGGTTGGATTTCACATGGATTTGTGAAAACCCAATTGCTGGCTTGAGAAAGGTATGGATTTGGCTTTGCTTTTCTCAATCTTTGGCCTCAGACATGGATTGCTGCTTCTTTGTTTGTTCTTCACCTAAATACTTTCTTGAATTAAGTAGAGATGTTTATCCTATAATAAGTAAGATAAATTCTGATGCTGTTTCTCTATGTTGTTTTGTGATTTGGGTTTTGATGATAATGACCACCCGTTCTGTGAAAGTGGAGAAATTTAAAAAAAAAAAAAGCACACACAGACACATATCTTGGAAAGATAAGTTGAAAAAGGGCCATTACCCAATGTTGGTCCTAGCTATCTAGGGTCTTGAGAGGAATTAACTGCATTTGGATTTTTTCCCACAAAGTGGTTGCTCTTAGGCCCCGTTCGCTCTTCGGTAAGTTACTTACCCGTGTAAATGCAGTTTACCTGGGTAAGTTTTTCCTGGGAAACACTTACCCGGGTAAGTGCATCTACCCATGTTATTTTATTTCTCATGTAAATAAGGCAATGATCATTTTAGTCATAAAAATCCATTATTAAAAAGGGCATTTTTGTCCCATTCAAGTGTTGGCAACTTTCCCCCTAGGTGGGAAAGTTATTTACCCACCTAGGAGATGGGTATCGCTTACCCGGGTAAGTGGTACCCAGGAAAATAAACTTTCCTTGGTCCCCACATAAATCTGAAAAAAGAACATGGGATTCTTGGTCAATGGGAACCAAAATCCCATTGGCCAACTTTCCCCCCTCTCAAAATCCGAAAAAAGAATGCCCCCTTAGGCTTAAAATGCATTCTGGGAGAGGGATTTCAGGATGCCAAGAATCAAACCTTAGTCTAGTTTGTAGCTCAAAGATAACAAAGGGAGAATGTAGGTGGGTGGGTGGGTATGTGTGTAGACAACTTAATTGGAGACTAATGGAAGGAAATGAGAAGAAAAAGGAACCGATCTAGGGTAACTTAGAGGAGGGACATGAAAATTGAGAGAGGATGGATGATTTGACAGCCCCTTAGACAAGCCTTACAGGCTTAATAGTATATACTTTATTTCAATAAATGGTGTATGTGTTGTACTGTAACGGAGGAAACCCACATACATAGCTTTGAACATTGGCATTAATGTGGACTGTGGCATGTTTACGAAATTATAATCTCAAAACATAGTTATTAAAGATGCAGTAAATCCCCACATCCCACCCCATCTAATTTCTTTTGTATGAAGGCACTCAGTAGTGGTCAATGGACTAGCAAGTGAAGGTAGATTATGAAACCAGCTATGCAGTCGGATATGCACATTTTACCATTTTAAGTGAATTGGTAAAAATAATTGATCTCTGTATTGTGTACCATTCAAGTATAGTTGATGCCGAATGTTTGTGGGGCCTTCTTAGTGGATTGTGGACTCTAGCAAGTATAGTATAGCTGCATGAAATATGCAACTTATGACATACTTAATCTACTTTGGATGGCAGATGGCTACCAATCTTTCTTATGAGACAGAACATTTAACGCTCAGTCCTGCACATCTTGCAAAATGGTTTTTTTTATGAAGCTTGGGAACACCATGACCTCAAGTGGGAAGGGGCAATGAGATTTGAACATCCATTGAGAGAAAAGATGTTTGGATAGTAAAACAATATACAAGAAAGTATACATTCTTGATGGTATAAAGTGGTTCTTGATGTTTTTTTCTTTGTTTATGCTTTAAATGATATAAAACATAACTGTGTGACTATTAGAAGTTACTTGTCTATTGGCACAGAGGCAGGTTGCAAATTGAAGCCCTAAAGTTTGTTATTTATATATGCTTAGCAAATGCTATTCCCTGGTATTATCCTAATGACAACTCATATGTTTTTTTCCCCTTTTTGAACACTAACAATCAATCACTATTGATTATATTTATAAATGATGGTATACAGACAGCAAATGTGAGCACTTTTGTCCCTATACCTAGCTACCTAACCCTAATGTCCTTAATGGCAACTCATATGCTATCACTTGTTTATTGAAGATAATTTAGACACTATTTTGTTTACAGGTAAAATATTTTTAAGGTGCAGTCCTAATTCGTGTTTGACCATGCTGGGTCTTAGTAGTTGATGATTATTAAAGCAGTATGGCCTAAGCATCACCAAAGCAACATTGTCTAAGGCGGGCAGTGGCTAAGAGGCAATAACATTGGACTATGAGATTAGGTGACAAGGCAGTCTCTTGAAACCTTGACACCCATGTTTTATAGTTTTAAAAGAAAGAAAAGAAAGACATACAGGTACTTGGAGGGGGAATATAGAAGCTATTGGTTTTAGATTTTGTTGGTAGACAACAAAAACGTATAGGTACAGACTTAAAATGCTATCGAGGAAAAAGAAAGAATGATTAAGCAGTTAGTGAAATGACTCTAGAAGACTAAATTTATGGTTCAGCAATATATAGCAGCAGCCAACAAGAGGGCTTTTTACATTGCTTGGTGACTTGGCGTAATGGTAAAATGTTGAGCTGACAAGCATGAGAACATAGGTTCGAGTCTAAGAGCGGCCACTCTGCAAAAAACGCCTAAGGATAGGTCTGTATCCAGTCTATCCCTCCCAAAAAACCTGCTAGTGGACTTGGATGCTTGAAGCTCTAATAATGTATCAACTTATCAACAATCTTCTATATTTCACATTCTTCTCTGTACTCATAGAGAACATGGTTTTTCCAGTTGGGGAAATGATAAGGATGCAAGTATGCAACTTTTTTATGTATCCCTTAAAAATCAATCTTATACCACTTATATGGAACATTTGTGTGTGGGGCCCACTCAAATGGTAGAATGTTCCAGATATGTGGTATGTGGTGCATGTTCCATTTCTAAGGTGCACGAGAAAACAAATTTATGTCTTTAGCATTGCTGGGCAGCAGAGGTAGCACTTCTGATCTCCTCCAAGTGGTGTTATCCTGAGTTTCAGTTGGCTTGACTTGGATTTAACTTTAGATGTTTTTTCTTTTTTTGTGTTTCTGTTTTTTCCTTTTAGTATTCACAGAATACGTATTCCAGGGGCAACAAGGGCTGGGGACAGAGGGTCCAGGTGAGGTCCACTGACCTTACCATTGAGAGGTGCAGAGTGACCATCCCAGCTAGTGGTAATGGGTCATTGGCACTTCATGAGCTGTTAAGAGTCCTTGCCTCCTTTTCGATTGCCTAACTTGTAATCTCTAGCTATGGTGTTTGTTTGCTTTCTGCACCATGATTCAGTCAGCTTCCCGTTATTTGCCAACTTATGTCTTAAGCAGTATGGCACTACTGGTTCTGTGGTATTGTGATCTCTTCTATGCAATTCTTCCATTGGTTTTTAGTTTTTAGTCACGATATTCTTGCTTGAGAAAAGATTTATTTCTTGCAATCAATGGAGTTAAGATACTTAGCTTATGCACAGAAACCATGGAAAACACCCTTGCATTCAATTGATTTGTCCGATTTTGAAACGAACTGATAACTAGCACAATGTTGGCTTGTAAAAACAAATTTCCTATATCCACTTGTCCGGCTGGATATTTTCTTTCCCTGACTTTTAGTTATCTTATTACAGTTTTTCTTTGTTATTTGGCTACACAGGGTGTCTGTGGATGTGACAGATTTTCTACCACCTCTATAGCAGATGTGATACGAACCATAGTGAGAAAAGATGGATATGCTGGGCTTATAAGGGGATGGAAACCCAGGATGCTGTTTCATGCTCCTGCTGCCGCCATCTGCTGGTCCACCTATGAAGCATCAAAAGCCTTCTTTGAAGAACTCAATGGTGACAGCAGCGGCAGCAGTGCTTTTTAAGAAACTGTAAACAAAGGGGAACCAGCATTTCTCTGTTGTACCTACAGAACTGATACCTCAATGTGATCAATGGCGAAAGGGTACTTTACCGCAGCAGTGGCAGATAAAACCGCACACATCCCTTGGAAATTTCCATTGACGTGCATTAAGGATCAGATTGAAGTTATATTGTATTATATAAATTGCTGTTTCCAGATTTAATAATGTTAATGATAAATTAGTTGAGGTGGTTCATGGTTGGTATCTTGACCAATCTGTGAAATTTTGTTGATTCGTTGTCCACATGTTACAGTTATTTGTTGGTCAAAGCAATTCCCCGTTAGGTGACAGCAGAAAATATTAGATCTTTACCAAGTATTTAGGGATTGAGGTGGGTTAATTTCATTTGATTGCTTATTTACTTATTGGAACCCCCCCCCAAAAAAAAAAAAAAGAAAGAAAGAAAAAGAAAATGCCTACATGACTGCTTCAGTTTAAATCTTTGCCATCCAAAGGTGAGAGTTGAATGGGTTGGTATCATACCCATTAAAAAAAAAATCGCTTGATCGCACTTGTTTTTTTTTTTCTAACTCTTTAAGAGCTCCCCTATCACATGATTTTATAATTCTAAATATGAATTATGATTGAAGGCAATAGCATAATAACATTGGACTCTAATGAGGGGTAATTTTGTCCTACAATGATATTATAATATGTGGCATCACAAAACAGTTGGGTGATACCTCAACATACTACGTAAGTAGATTACTTCAGACATTTTATAATTGCATCAGCGATCTTGGCACCACCCCAATAGATTGAACTACAAATAGCTAAGCGAGACTTCAGGTCAATGTAAGAGATGACCTGCTTCCATCGAACTGCCTTGGCCTTAGCAAGACATCAGGTCGCCTCTCAGTGTAAGAGACAACCTTCTTCCACCGAATTGCCCTGGCCCAGTAAGACATTAGGTCGGTATGAGAGGCGACCTGCTTTTGCTGACTTGATCTAAGTTCAGCTAGCGACTTGTGGGGGGTGATCTCTTCCTTAAACGGTTTATTGTCTCTGACTTCCACAAGATCACGATGCCACATCAGAAGAGCTGGTTATCACCCCACACGCTTCGGGCACGATTGAATAAGCACTACCTGCTTACGTGGAGTCCACCTCTAGGCGTGAAACCACCTCCGAACCAGATGGGCCAGAGATCCTAGACATATTTCGTGAGGCTCATGGCAGCCCGCCTATATAAGGGTCTCACCTTCAACCTCAGAAGAGAAGGTATGCGCAACTTAGCATTCACAATTCTCTAGCTTTTTCGCTCTCTCAACACTGTTCGCTAACTTAAGCATTAGAGTGCCCACCCCGGGTCAAACAACCTAGACACTGATTTCTTTCTCTTGCAGCTTGATCAGACAACCTATTCAGTCCAATGTCCAAACTATCCGCTAGCAACATTATACCGCATATCATCAAATTCAAATCATCTTCGGTTGTACTTGCACAATAGAGCCAATTTTAATACACCAATTAGCTCCCATACACATGGGTTGGTCCCATATGTCAGGTTGACATGGTGCCTAATGGCTGACCCAGTATTGAGGGAAGACTAGAGTTGCTCTTTCAGAAATCAATTTGAAAATTTCACTCTCCTCATTGTAAAGTTATCTCCCAAAGTTTAGGGCATCATTTCAAATCACATAAATCAGCATTCACCAATTCTATGATTTTTCATGCGATGCGGAGACTGGCTGATGTGGCAAATTTAGAAATAAGCTTTGGCAAATCAATTCCTCCAATCAAACATCCCCTACCCCAAACAAAAGTTGGATATAGATTGGACTTTGTTACTGGGGTCTGCAGGTTTTCTAACCAACATTATGCAATTTTATAGTTCACTTGAGCTGCAAAATTAAGAGAGTATAAACTGAATATTTTATCTAATACAAATAATTTTACATATTGAATAATATGATAATCGATGTACTAATTACTTTAAAGGGCAATTTTGTTAAGAATCATCAATTATAACTTTATAGTTCACCTGATGCCCATCTTTGTATTATGTAATCCAATATCTCCTTTTAGGAAATAAACTTCTCAGCTAATATAGGGGGTGTTCGCGTATGGTTTTGTTTTCAAAACAAAAGTTGCCCCATCTGATCAACAAATTATATTGATTTTGTTGATGTGGTGGTTCTTTCTATTTTAAAAACAAAACCAATCATGTAGATGAATACCTCCATAGTTTACTAAAATAAATTCTCAGCTAGTATTGGGTTGTATAGCATATTTGTTCAGGAGTAGAGTTATTATTTGACATAGAGCCATGATTTCAAAAACTGTAGTTGACAAATATGGTTGCATTTGGGTAAGCTACAGGGTTTGTGCTTTAAATGCCAAATGTAAGCAGAAAGCAGTACAAATTGTGCTTTGAGGATTAAAAGTATTTTAGCTTTATACATTGTTGTATTTTAGAAGCAAATGCGTAAGACATTGCGGTTCATTTTTTATTTCGGATTGTTTTGAAAGAAAAAGATTCAACATGGCTCCCATCAACAGTGGTCTAATGGTAGAATAGTACCCTGCCACGGTACAGACCCGGGTTCGATTCCCGGCTGGTGCATTGGTTTTTTATTATATATCAGCCAACGCGCGCTACGATCTTAATCAATGCATGGGGAGCACGGCTGTAGACTGTAGTATCTTGTACTTTATCAAGCGCTGAGACATCACACATCAGACATCTAATCACGTGTATAAGGGTAGTTTCGTCACTACATCTGTTGAACAGTTGAAGTTACGCGGGTATCTTCTTCTCTCGAGCTTTTCCGCTCCGGGTCTCTTCTCTCTCAGAGTCCTCCAGTCGTTTCCCAGAACATCTCGTAGTCGTAGTCGCAGGCTTATCAGGTGAAATGTCGAYCACTGCTGACGGGTTTCAAGGTAATAATATTTAATCTCTAAATTAACATGAAACTTTCCTTCAATTTTTTACGCATTTCAAATGATTTTATATTTTCCCTTTTTTTCTTGCATGGCAGAGAACGGTGGAAGCGATTCCGACACGAACTCTGATGAAGCTGGAAATTACTACCAACCCATCTCCGCCGTCGACGACAACGACGAAGGCGATCCCGAGCAAGAGATGTCGGTCGAAGATAAAGGGGATCTCAATCACGATTCGACCCACTTCGATTCCTTCGCTTTTGGAAGCCCTAATTTTCACTCACTTTCTAATGGCTACGTTCATCGAGCAGAGAACGGAATCGCGTCCCTGAATCTGAACGGCGACGACCATGAAAATGAAGAGGAGGAAGAAGAAGAGAGGATCAGAGAGGCTTCGGATTCGGCGATAGCAAGGGCTTTCAGAGAGGACGAGAGCCGTCGAAACGCCCCTCTAACACCCGAGAATGCATCGAGGATCATGGAGGCGATGCGTGGTATCTCTTTCGGAGGTTTGACGCCAGATTGGGCAGAGCGAGTTCCTGAAGATCGCTGGATCGATCAGCTGAGGAGATTAAGACAACCACCACCCCCAGCCACTACAATCCAAAATTGATGGCAAATTATAAAAGGGGATAAAAAGAGAATCAAAGAACTTCTTGATGCTGATTAATGAATTTCTTATTACCAAAAAGAAAAGAAAAAAAAAAGCTTCTGAGATTGAGATGCCATCGCAATTTTCTTTTAGTTATTCTGATTTTATTAAATAAATATATGCTATGACTCATTCTGATTTCTGACGTTGCTTGTCACTCACTCGCGAGTCGCGATCAGTTCTATTGCTATTTGCTAATGTTTCTGCTACAGTCTGCATGAATTAGTTGATAATTTTTTGGATTTAAATTAGTTGATACCTAGTTCTCAAATCTCAATTTCACCAAGCCAAGAATCTGTTTGTATGAAACCCAGTGAGGATGCCTGGCGGTCACTCTCGTTACACTTGATATTTCAGATTCAAACTTGGCCGCATGGGTAGTTACGCACTTGCGCTTACGATCACTAACAGGGAGAAAGGGCCGAGAGCTCAATGTATTTCGGGTCCGCTTGGTTCATAGTCGGACTGGATCGTATAATCTATTTGGTTCACAGGAATTGGATTGGGAATTAGAATCAGCTGGAATGACTATTTCTGAGGGGGAGAGAATGTCCAGGGAATGTCATTCCACAAGGAATCGAATGGAAATGGAATCCAAGTTCATCCAATCAAATTTATAGTTCTGCAGTGTAAATCAGCATTGGACAAATCCATACTTCTCCGTAATAATTTCGAGTGTTTTGGATTCCTGGGAACTGGCAAATTTCGAGTGTTTTGGATTCCTGGGAACTGGCAAATTTTCCAAATTTAAAATGTCGGAATGGAGATTATAATTTTGTTTTGTTTTTTCCTCTTCTGATGAGCTTAGGTTGGAGTACTAACTAGCGTTTATAACCATTTGACGTCAACCCTTATGTTCTCAGTGAATGCTTTGTTTCCACATTCAGCTTTTCAGATAGCAAAGTTGGAATTTATAGATTATAACTTGTAAATGGTATTGCAGAAACTACAACTTGAGTTCCATTACAAAAGACGGCCAAGGTTTATAGTCCATACAAGCAGAGACGTTTCTAACAAATGAGGTCACTCTAAAGATTCGGCATATGACCATCAATGCCCTTTTAACAGGAGAGGGATAGAGGATTCAGAAAGGGTATGATTCGCACACATTCCCATTCGGATACAGTTAAAACTTGTCTACAATTACACCATCCCGAAGGACCTCATACGCCTCTCTACTCCTGGATTTCTTCATTCCTGCTGTGAAATGGATCTTTGATCCATCGGTAGAAATGCTGGTCACTTTCACCCAGATCACCACCTTTGTCTTAATTCCTTCAACATCAGATAGTTTTCCTTTTTCCAGGTACCCAGTCACGGTTGTGGCAAAACGCAAGACGGATGAGTCTTTGTACCCAACTTCACAGATAGATGGTATGAATACAGTTAACTTCCCTGTCTCTTCATTAAACTCATAGTTTGTAGCATCACGAGGGAAGATGCCTACTGCCATGTCATACTCCTGCAACAGCTCTGGCAATGGCTTTTGCATTTTCCCTGCAAGTAGTATACAACCATTGAATTGGAAATATGGCAGAATTCTATTCAGAATAGGAGGAAAATATGCATATTTTAACCATTGTGCTTGTTTTCATTTATTTCCAAGGGCATATTACAGTGACAACAACAGTGGCTTCATGGGGCTCAAGTTGCAATCTATCCAGGGGGTAGATAGGGGTTCAATTTAACCGCCTTCATCCACATCCTTTCAGTTCTCACTGCCCCATCCATAAAGGAAACTCATAAAAGAGGAAAAGGAGGAGGGAATTCAATTGTATAGATCCTTTGGGCATGTTAACTCTCTCTGGTTGAGCCTCTACTACACAAAATGTGTATGGATGCACTTAATTAGGTCATGGAAACTGGTTTCCAAATTCCAGGCAGGAACAATCTGGTCCCCAACTAAAAGGTAACCCAACAATCATACATTAATTTTGAGAAAGAAACTTTTTTCACCCACTCAAGAGCCCCCCAGCAGAGGATGACTGAATTCCAGGCAAGGATAACCATACTAAACAGTATTGCTGATCATGTAAATGGAATGGTGAAAAAAGAGAAACAAGGGAAATAGAAAAAGAGAAGGAATATGCACCTTTTATTTTATTAACCAACCATTTGGCTCCCCCTTCAATACTGTTTGACAATGACTGTAATATGTAAGAAGTTGATGTCAGCAAGTAATTAACAAAATGATCTATGTTAAATAGCTAATACCAAACAAAACTGCAGACCGAACCAAAGCAGAAAATGACTAAAGCATCAGCAAATAAACGAAGCTCTTCAGATATCAAGTACACAACATGAAAATATCTCACCCATCTTGTTAAGTTAAACTGAATAATCAGCTGTTCTCTTGCCTTCTCCAAAACTTGAACAAATGAATAATAACTTGGCCTAATAAAAGCAGCAGCTCATACCAATGGCAAATTGACAAAATAAGCAATTGTCCTAGGCCTAATTGCAACAACCAACAACATACATATAAATAATTTGTTCTTTCTTGGCATATGTGGGAAATTTCAACTGTGCAAATTAGTTAGCTAGAAACTACTTAAGTTAGTAGAACTACCCAAGTAATTGCTGAAGGCAGTTGTGTGTGGAAGAAGTCTATGTGGAGTAATGAGACATGACAGCATGAAGACATGCCATTAAACCAGGCAAGATCACTTAGCCCTGAGCCAGGCTTGAGCTTAATACTGCTGCTTAGTACCCAAGCTAAGTCAAACTTTTTTAGGGATGCTAACATAAATTATAGGACCACAACTTGGGTGGGATTGAGTTGAGAATTAGTCAAAATTTGAATAGGCTTGGCCTGAGGACCTGGACTAGATGTTGTAAAATTTAAGTGAGGCATCCGATTAGCATCCCTAATAAATTCATCACCATCACCATCATCAACATCATCATCATCATCATCATCATCATCACCACCACCACCACCACCACCACTAGCTGTGGAAATGAATCGAGCTTTTCACGAGCTATTCGAGCTCAGCTCGTGAAAAGCTTGATTTGGCTCGATTTAAACTGACCTTCAAGCCGAGCTCAAGCCCAATGAAGCTCGGCTCACGAGCCTATATATATATTTTTTATTATATGTATAATAATATTTTTATATATAATATTTTATTTTTTATATATAATAACAAATAATTTTTATAATTCTTATTTTTTGTATGTAAAATAAAAAATAATTTTTATATGTATACTTTTTATTTTTTATAGGAAGCTTTGCTTGCAATCAAGCTCGAGCCAGAATTCGAACTTGTGAGCTTTTGAGCTGAGTCGAATTTGAGTTCAAGAGCTCAGGCTTGAGCCTAACATTGTTTTGGCAAGCCGAGCTCTTATAGCTAGGTATTTGGCTCGGCTCGACTTGAATCTACCCCTAACCTCCACCACCATCATCATCATCTAAGCCTCATCCCAATTATAAGCATCAGCTACATGAATATGATCACCTAAGCCTTATATTCCTAAATTATTTATATGATCGGTATCAAAATATAATAAATTCAAGCTTGCATTGACTTCCTTTTCTTTGATGACTAAGATTTGGAGGGTTTCACAGGCTTGCAAATTTTGGGATCAAATGAAGATATCATCTGAAGTGGACTTGGTGATCCAAGCAAAACTTCAGCTAGCAAAGACCTTGATGACCTAAGCCCAACCAATATTCGTAAGTTATTCAGGCTGTTCAGCCAAGAAAAAACAATTTGACTTGTCTTTTTGGCATTTCCTTCCAAGGATATCAAGGAGAAAAGAGAAAGCCATATGCCAAGGACACAGCAGTGTCAGATTTTACTGCAGGGAATAATTAGGCTAGACAAGCAGCACAACATAACAAATATAGCAGTAAGCTGCAGTGTTTTTCCTGATTTCTCGACACTTTAACATCAATGAAAATCTCAAGCAGGTGGTTAACAATGGAATTCTGTGATTTGCCACAAACTTAATTTGGTGTACAAACCAAAAGATAGCTATGACTAACATTGGATAATTCCCCTTTTAACCAGAAGAGATGCATGCTGATCCTTCAACTGTATCATAGTTAATAGCAATGGTGTTACATGCATACATATATTAGCAGTTAAGTACATATAGAAGAGAAAGGTTATAGTATGTTAAAGTTCAAACTATAGACATTAAAAAATGAAAGAAAAAGGAAATTAGGCAGAAAGAAATCGGATGAAACACCTTTTTCAGCAAAAATAAATAAAATAAAATAAAAACGGAAAAGGAAGAAGAGGAAAGGAGGAACCACAAAAGAGAAAGAACTAGATAGCATGTACAATGACAATTTGTTATTTTCAAGGAAAATACAAATAGTTTAGGTATGTATACTTAAACTTCTGAGTATACACATTAAAAAAATAAAAAAAGAAAACAAATTTTCTGGAACTTCAATATGACGCTAATAATGATCACCATTAGCAATAATCATGACAAGCACCATGTTGAAGATCCCACACCATGGCCTTTGAGTAGCACTGTAGCAGGGTAACATCTTAAAATGGTATCATGGGCACCTTTGACAACACGAGTCACATCTAGTACAGGGCAATTTCATTGCACCTTGGATCTCCAGGAAATACCACTTTGTTTTTTTCTGGGAATATTTTCAAAAGCCCCTTTGGTCAAAGAGATCAGAGATTTCTTTATTTGATGGATATTACATAGCAAATATTGGTATAATCTAATGTCTCCTTATGCTATTGCAAGAAACAAAGATAGCTCCCTTTCCAATTCCACAAGCAATATGATCTAATGCTAAATAGCAATAGCCCAGAGGTAAATTCCTTTGTTGAACTTTTTTTTTCAGAATGGATGTGCATTTCCCACCCTAGACTTCTGGTTGCTCGCATACTTCTACCAGATATTCTTCCACTGATTAGACTACAACATTATTCACATACCTTTTACCAGCTAGACAAGATCATTCATGAAACAGTACTTTATAGGCATTCAACACCAATTTGAACCTTTACATGTCATGTCGGATGACTGATTAACAATGACACCATAAAATAAGATGTGAGTCTTATCATCTTGATGCCCCCATCCTAATATGTCACATTTTAGGTTGTTTTTGGTACCATTGCTGTTTCTACCTGAAATGTTTTGGTTTGATGAATACAAATTGGTGAGAAACGTATTTTTTCTACCTGAAACATTTTGGGTTGATCAATACAAATTGCTGTTTCTACCTGAAGCATCGATTTGACATTTCAACTATAAGCGTCAATGATCCTAAACATGCATTGTTTGTAGCTGAAGTGACTCTCATGTGTGATGTGACAAAACATATTTCTTACCAAGAGTGGAATGCATACAACTACTGATTTCACATATTGAAGCAAAAGTGGAATGTGTCATTATCATATAGCCACTAGACATATTAAATTGCTTCAGTGGTTGAGCTGGTCAATCACAATCATTTGTTACCATTGGACTTTACAAACCAAATACAAGATAAAATGAATGTTTAAACAACCTATAACCATAGGGAGTGTAAAATAGTGCAAAATATGATAGATCGGTCTTACAATGTTTCACCAAAGGAAATGTTTTAAAAATTCCATCACAACATACTTCAAATTGAGTTTTTCCCCCAGTAATGAGATCAAGGAGATTAGTAAACACATGAACTCAACTCAACTGAACTAAGCCCTAACTATATGGGGTTGGCTACATGGACCCTGTTACACCATTTTGTTCTGTTCATGCCATGTCCACTCTTAACCTATGGTCCCTTAAATCATTTCTCGCTGCTTTAACTCATGTCCTTTTTATCTGTCCCTAGCTCTTTTAGACCCTTCAACTTGTAATAGATCACTTCTTCTCCCTGGGATCCCTTCAATTAGAAGGCACTTAGAAGATGAAGACCATATTATAAGATTAACTAACACAATAAATAAAACAGTTAGAATGATCAAAACCCACAAAAATAACCCAAGCTAGGTGATGTCCAGAATTATTACCTGTCTAGGCATCCCCACTGTAGTTAAAGCATCTGCAAATGTATTAGCAGATCTTAAGACTCAATTGAATGGGCCCTTCAGCCTGGATACCAATGATTGGCCTCCCTACTGGAGTTGTTTAAGGCCCAAGTGGACATGCATCCATCCTATGGCTGTGATGGAATTCACTTTCACTGGAATTATACCGTGGCCAATTATCCAATATGAGGTCTGAGTTAGTATTGCAATCTTAGCTCTTAGCAAGTCTCCTTCTCCTCTAGGCAGCAAAAACACCTTTATTACCTTACCATTGTCATCACTGAAGACTCCCCCAGTGATCGATGAACCTGGATTACCCAAGGAGCATTCATGAGGTCCCCAAACTTGCAGCCTTGGTGCTCTATGTAGAATTCGTCACCAATTGTTAATCCCTAATGATGGAATCGACCAAGATTCTTTTGAATTCATCTTTTTAAGCACTCAATATGCTAGTCAAGTGGTAACTTAATAGTACCAAATAGGAAACACCAAGACCTTGTTCCAAATGTGAAAATAAATAGAAGGTCAAAAGACAGCACTGCGAATTGGCTTAATCACTAAAACAGATCTAAAATTTAACTAAAGGAATTAGAAAAAAAAAAAAAACAGTTTTTGTACGCAAGACAAAGTATATTTGATTTCACTTAATAAATCTTGTAGGTTTCTTAATCCCCTCTTAGGACGTTCTTTGGTGCTCGATCGTTGTCCCTCTGCTATTGAGTCAATTTCGAGGCAAGCCTCCAAATATACAGAAAAATGTATAAATAAATATTATAAGAAAAGAATCTATGCAGTAAGTAACATTGATGAACGAGGACTCATCAAATTCTTTCTCCCGATATAAATTGTTGTTTTAATGATTAAATTAAACCAATTAAGTTCAACCTAACTATAAATCGTAAAAGCCCGTTTCTGTTCCAGGTTCCCTATCAATTAAAGGAAATAACATTACAATGCTATCAGGGATAGCATCAAATTGAATTATGAGATTAAACATAGAATTGGTCAATGAATGGCTGATTATGAACAACTCAGACTCTCTACACATTGGAAACCCTAACCTAGCAAGGTTAAAAAAAAAATAAGAGAACTCATACATTGAGATCCTGGCCGACGGAATTGATTTCCTTGTTGGCTTTGTTTGTGAACCAGTAGGTTCCCACCTTGTTGAAGATCTGATCCATTAATGTGCACTGTGTCTTTCACGCTCAGAACGATTATAATTTATGTCCGATGTACCGAGAGGTTTGATCCTCTCTCTCTCTCTCCACCCTGGGTTCCTCTCCTGCGTCAATCGTCTCTGCAATTGCAGAGAAACGGGCGTTGGGTCCTGCGACTTCTCTACAATTTCTCCTTCCTTCTCTTGTCCTTTTATTTTCTTTTCTTCATTTTTCTTGTTTTATTTTGTTTTCTTCATGTTTTTTGGGTAGGACGTAGGAGTATTCTTGTTGAGTTGAAAGAGCCCGGATCTCCTGCCCACGTCTATCGCAGAACATCTCATCCTCTGCATAGTATTATGCAGGGGAGATGTTCCCAATTCACGGGGTGGTGTAGGCATGGGCAGGGTTATCGTGGGCAGGAGATCCGGAGACCCGAAAACCCCTGATAGTATTTATTTGTTTAGCCCGAACGATCCTAGGCCGTACATTTCTCGATCAAAAACCCAATTTATCTGTGATCTGAGAATATAAATGTGCAGTGGGGGTCCACACTTCGATTATCGATACGCACCTATTTTCATATGGACAGGGACGGGTCTGATGGGTTTCCCGTTGCCACATGATCTGTAGTTACCATCCTGATCGCTGATATCAAAAATTCAAAATGTTGTCAGGCTTGTCTCCAGGCTCGGAACGGATGGTGATATAACAATTCAAAAAAGTGTTCTTGTTGTAATCTAATAATCTACAGGGTCCCTGCGTTGGAGGGGCAAAATATGATGGTCAGTGGTTTGTCATAGGTAAATTATATAATTATATAAGAAAAATTTTGGGGAAGGTAAATTTTTTAATTAAAAGTTTATTGGAAAAAATATATATTAAAAATAAATAAAAGCTTACCAGATAATAATATATTTAATTTAATAAAATAAAACAATAAGTAAATAATGAAGGTCATTGAGCAATAGAGTGAAAGAGGGAGAGATGACTTTTGTCACTATATTTTTATTTTATATAATGGAATAATTGTAAATAATTAAATAATAATTAATTTAATTTAATAAATAAATAAATTTAAAAAATAAATGAGATAAATAGACAATCAAGTGAGAGAGTAAATATATACAAGATTCTATGCCTTACTTTCTTAGCAACATAATTTATTAAATTATTAACTAATTAAATAATTTAGTAAAATAAGTAAGTAAATAAATAAATAAAACTTTATGTATTATCAACACAATATTTGTAAAGGTTATCTCAAATTATTTAATTAATTAATTTGGTGTTGTTAATGGATTGGGCTGAACTACTAGGCTACTGAGCCCATGAACAAGCTTAGTTGGATTTGTGGCCTAACTTGGCCCGTAGACCAGCCCAGCTTATGGCATGACATGGGCACATGTGGACTTAGGTTAAAATTTTAAGATCTTTAATTTTTTGTCTATTTTTTATTTTATGTTAAATTTTCATTGTTTTTTCGAAATTTTTAAAAAACATGGCTTAGTTCGGTTCGTGGCTCGGCCTGGCCCATAGACCAACCCGGCCCGTGGCATGGCATGGGCTCATGCCGTATATTATATACAATAATTATATAATATATTAATATATACTTTTATTTTCAATTTTATTATTGCATATATAAACAATTGTATATATACATCAAAATTCATATAAAATGAAAATTTAATATATTTTTTACTCTTTTATCTATTTTTTAATTTATGTTAACTTTTTCATTTTTTTCAAAACTTTTAAAAACATGGATTAGCTTGGTTTGTGGCCCGACTTGACCTAAGACTTGGCCTGTAGACTAGCCCAATCCATAACATGACATAGGCTTGCGCGGGCTCGGGCCGAGAGCTGTGCCGGGCTGACCCCCTAAAGCATCCCAGGGGAGAGAAGCACAACCCAACATGACCTGATTGTAAATAAAATGAGAGATAAAGATGATTTTTAACAAATATGAAAAAGGTAAAAGTTTGGTGGCATCATTGTAAATAGTTACCGATGGCACCATTACAAATAATTACATATTTAGTATCAAATATGAAAGAGGAAAAGAATAAAGGACACGTTATCATTGTTTTTTGTTTTAATCAATGGCATTATTGTAATTAATTAAATTTGCATTGGTAATGGTTAAAAGCATGAAAATGAAAAGATTATAAGATTTCATTTATGTTATATACAAAATATTCCATTTGGCAAACACACATCAATTGGCCGTACATCCTTTTGCTTTTAGGCTATATATATAGATAAAGTTTAAATTATGACTATATTCGTTGGGATATTGTCTAATGTACAGACTTTTATTATGTTACCATAAAAAAATACTAGCTTTATTAGAAGAAATTAATGAAAAAGGAGTCCTATTGGATTTGAAATCCATTAATGGGATAGAAAATATCAAAGTCATGTTTGTTTGCATTGAATTATAATTTCGATACATGAGGGATCGGATTCAATCCTCAAAAGACCATGTTCACACCTTTCTCATAGCCATTTCTAGTTGTGTATTGTGAATATCTCTCCATGAATAAAAATATACAGGTATGGAGATATATTCATACATGATTACAAATGGTTGTGAGTCAGTGTGAACACGGTCTTGTGAGGATTGAATCCAATATTGACATATGAATAAACTATAATGATTACTTTTAGAAGTGTATTGGAATTGGTGATTTTTTTAGATATCTCAGTGTTGATTTATAAAAAATGATAACTGTTTTTAACCCTGAATGTGAAAGTTTTTTTATCTAATTAACAATTAATTAAATGAATATAAAATAATTAATAAATAGTGGAATTGATAAAAATGTTATAAATAATTACATGGTTATTGATTAGGTAATTAACTAATAATTAATAATATTTATTTATAATAATAATAACTAATTATTAATTATTTTTTGCATTCTATAGAAAATTGGTGCAACATAACTTAAACTTGAACGAATCAGTAATAAAGCATCACATCACAATGATTTCTTCGACGTTGTTATAATCTTTAACTAGCGGGGGCCTGTGCAATGCACGGGCTTGTTGAGCTAAAATAATTTTAAATTAATTAAAATTTTAATTAAATTAAATAAAATTTTCATTTATTACAAATCTGCTTTGAATGAATATGGAAAGGAGTGGATCTCATATCTAACATGCTCCATTACATTCCCTAAAATTTATCGTTTTTTTATCTAAATAAATCACTTAAACCTCCACTAGGTATTATGAATGGGATCACTAAGGAAAGGAAGTGAAATGCAGTAAAATCCATACAAGATTTGTAAAGGTTTTCACTTCCTTTCCTTCCCTTTCCCTACTTTTTTCCTTCAAACCAAACATAGCGTAAGGTTACCGTGTTTAAAAGTAAACAGGTTTGTGCACATGTCAACCTTTCACATCCCTTAAGACGACAATGCCTTCTCTAGCTCTTCTTTGTGTTTTGTAGTGGTTTGGATTTGACATTGAAGAGTTCAATCTTTCATAAAAATTCTTTCACATATGTCCGAAATAACATTTTCAAACCAGCAAGCCTCAACCTTGTTAGAAACTCATCGCCACTCTCTTCTAATCATTGTTCCGTCTTGTAACCATCAATTGTAGTTGTTATGAATCTCTGCAACCAGATGAGAAGCCAAAACTCATCAACACCTCTTTGTCTTGGCTGATGTCCCATGATTTGTCCAAAATTAAAAAGGCGCTGGCCCAAAACAAAATTAATAGTTAATGCTTGGGCATCCTTGAAGAATTGCTTCCTGTAACTCTGTTTAGTTTTGCTTTGGAAAAGCAAAAATAGCCATTAGTGCTTGACCATTGGCCGGTGTGGAACATTATATTCATTCAATTTTCATATAAAAGAGAAAAACATATAAAAAACCATAAAAAAGAATAGGTCATGGATTTAGAGTCGTTTTAGTCACTCAAATAGATCTTCTTCAACCATATTTGCCAAAACGGGTATCTAATAATTAGAAAAAAATTGAAAATGTCATTTTATATTGATATTATTTTCAAAATTAATTACTGAAAATATCAACCTATGCAATGGCTATGCTTATTTACTTCGACTAATGATTGTGGTCAAATTTTATCGATTTTTGATTTTTATAAAGCAATATTTTCACCTATTTTCGATGCGAATCGTGGTCTATACACATTTTTGCATCGAAAATCGGTGTGTTTTTGAACTCTTACCAAATAAATGCAAATCCGAAGCGGAATGCAAATTTGCAATAGTTCAGATTTACACTCAAACCAAATGCAGCCTAAGACTCAATTTGAAAATAGTACAAATACATAAAATAATATAAAATACACAGGTTTGCACTCTACATATTTATATTTGTACTCCTTACAAACTGAGCCTCAATGAACATGAAAAACATCTTAGAACTTCGTTTAAAGTACAATTTTTAAATCAACCTGTAGTTTTATTCGTATAGGTGTAATAAGAGAAATAAATTTATTCATGAACGGTTCAACAAATGATACACAATGCAATTTAGGATGGATTAATTTGAATAAATTGGATTGGACGAGGGTTAGGGGTTGCAAGTTGGGTTTGGTTGGTTTTTTTTTAATTTCAATGGATTGAGCCCTAACCCAATCATAATGCAATTTAAATTCCTCAAATTCGACAACCCAAGGTACAACTTTAGCAATGGTTGATGCCTTAATCTAATCCCACGCAAGTTGATCTCTTTCCATGAACATGTTGCCTTGCAAAGCTCCTTTCAAGAGCAAGGCACCATTTTAAATCAATCCCATTGGAAGCAGCTCTGGAAGGTGGGAGTTATTCTCAATATTCAATTCTTCATTTGGAAAGGTTGCTGCATACTTGCAATACATTACCAAATATTGTTAAATTGAAAAAATGACGCCTATAATCCTTAGATATTTGTCAAGTGGAATCCTTAGCCACATTATTTTTCAATGTCCATGATGCTACCCAAGATTGTAGCAAGGGTAATTTGGAACTTATGATGTGATATGGCCGTAGGTACCTCCAATCAACATAAAAAGGCATCGGAGGCCCTGGGATGTGGTTCTAGGGGCGATCGAGGAATCTAATAATTAAGTTAGTCGAGGTGACCAAAGAGCCAACGTGGCAAGATGAGACAAGAACAAGAGAATGGATGAGAATTAGGGAGAATGAGAAAAGGTACTTTTGGCTCTTGAGTCTTATGTATAGGTGATGTCTCATTATTGACTTTGTTATGAGCTAGCTCTTTGTAATGGCTTCGCACATTAGGGTGCAATGAAGGCCAGAGTTATTAAATCGGTGAGTTTTTTATTCAGGTAAATGTAATTATTTGGATAAGTTTTTTCTCAGAAACACGTACCCAGGTAAGTGTATTTATTCATGTTCTTTTATTTCTCAAGTAAAAAGAAAATGACTATTTTAATCATAAAAATTCACTATTAGAAGGGGCATTTTTGCCCCATTCAAGTGTTGGAAATATTTTCCCTAAGTGGGAAAATTATTTACCCACCTAGGAGATGGAATCACTTACAGGAAAATAAACTTTCCCTAATCCCCACATTAATCTAAAAAAGAACATGGGATTCTTAGTCAATAGAAACCAAAATCCCATTGACTAGATTCCCCTCCCCCCTTCTCAAAATCCAAAAAACAAACGCCCCCTAAGAGTAACTTGCGAATAAGGCCAGGGTGAAATTCTAGGGGTACCCCCCTGAGGCATGCAAAGTGACAATATTGCCCATAGAGACACCACGTACCCACCAAGGATTGGATGGGTAATTGCAACTATATCAGTCCATATTCTCGAGCAATATGGTTTGGCTTATGTATACCAATGGATAATGTTGATGTTTCAAGCAAGCTTAAGTAGTGGTGTAATGTGGGTTGAACTGGTCAGGCATGACCCACATTTTCGTGCTGTCTGCACCGTAGTGGGAAGTTCCATGTAGGTTGGGGGTGGGGCCCAACACAAGCCCGGACCGTATTATTTCATTTTTTTTTGTTTTCACTGAAAAAACAAGAAATAAAAAAATAAAAATAATGAATAAATGAATGAAAAAAATGACAAATACAATAATTACAACAACAATTTGAAAAAAAAATCTTAAAATTTTATTTTATATGAATAATCAATTGATACAAAAAAGTTAAGTTGAAAAAATACTATAATAAAAGGATACCCATAATAAAATGATTAAATGACGTATTGGGCCAAGCTGCGGACCGGGCTTAGGGGAAACGCCTCTAGAGGATTGGTTAAAATAAATTCAAATGCCCCATTCTATGCTTGCTCGATCAAGAAGAGCTTCCATTGGTTTTGCTATTATGTCTTCGTAATGAGCATCGAAAACAATGTGTGGATCATAGGTTTATCCCTCCTCATGATGACTTTTGAAGCTCTAGCTTTACAAAGGGTTTGGTTTGAAGTCTTGAGCTATGGATCAAAGAATGTTATAACAAAAATGGGTTCAAATGAATTGTGGGGAGACATTAACTATTCGGAATTCAGTCTCAATCAACTCTTCCCAGTAATCTTTGACATCAAGACTATGGTGAGAAGAGATTCTTTATGCACCTTTTAATGGATTAACAAGTCCGCTAATTAAATTGCTCATCATTTTCTTGCCCTTTGTGCTCATTATCAAAATTGGCACAAATATGTCATTGCTCCTCCTTAGCTAGAAAATGTGATTACTCAAGACCTGAAAAAATGATTGTTTTTAGTTCGTGTTTTGTTGTTTCATCTTGTATCCAAAAGAAAAGGGATTAGTGTTTGGACAAAATTAATTCAACCATCGTGGCAGAGTCTAATGTATTGTGCATGTACACATACATATAATATGTATTTATGAATATGTGCAAATAAGGATAAAGATATAAGTTAATATTATATATAATCAAAATGAACTTTTATAACCTACGCCAAAACTAATACAAGTATCTGTTATATATAATATAAATTTATCATATATCAATTTATTTGATTTATGTATATGAGAATATTTATGTTAGTGACAAGGAGAAGCATGCTATATTTTAAATGAAGATTAAAACTAATAGATGTTAATTTTTTTTTTTTTTTTTTTGGGGGGGGGGGGTGTTGGAGGTAGGTGATAGATACTCGCAATGAAAAAAAATTGTAAACAGTCAAAAAATACTATAATGACACGGTGACATTGAAAATTATGTATATAGCTAGGGGTGCTCAGGTGGACATTTTTTTAAGTCTAACCGTTCCCTTCAGTTTATACATTGTCTTGAACTGAATCAATGAGTTAATTGATCGACCAGTTTGGTTCTTGATTTTTTTTTTGTTTTTTATATTTATAGTGTATATATATATATGTAATTTGATTCAATTAATCACTGGTTTTTCAGATTTCTTAATCGAACCAAATCCATATCTTTAATTTTTCATGTATCTTCTTCTTTTTTTTTTGGTTATAGAATCTGATGAATTCAATTAACCGGATTTTCGGTTTTATAGCATTCACTAAGAACAAGATACTTTCGATGGGCCTCCAAAGCTAGGTTAGAATCGTTAGATGGTTCTATCCCATTTAGTTGGTTCGGGTTTAATTGAGGTGCATTTGGATCGACCCAGGATCCATTGACACGGAGAAGGCTCCATTGACCATGGACAGGGCCAGGAGCGTGAAGCTCGGATCTGCTATGACTATTACCCATAAAGGCGCAATCCATACGTACGTAAAAGATATTACAGCCGCACGTAGGGAACATCTCCCTTTACGAATGACAACTGAGATGTTCCCGACGGGTAGCAGATCCGGACTCGGAGCGATAACGTCCAACTGAATTCTCACAGGGTGGCTTTAAACCCATATAACGCGATACTTAACAAAGGCGCCTTACAACGAACTCACAGCCACATCCCACGGTTTATTAAGAACATCTTTCGTAAATAATAACACATAAATACGAAATTGTTTTCAATACATCGTGAGATGTGTCAGTGAAGTCGGCGTGAGGCGCCATGTGTGTAAAGAGCAGATCATAATTGGAATCAATAATCATAATGTTGGGACTTGGGACAGTTTTTGTTGGGAGGAGATCCCAACTCGTTCGGGTGGGGAATCCATGTAGCCACGTGTGCAACCGAACTCCTGTTGTACATAGTCGTTTCACAGCTTCCGGCAGGGTGATATAAATCGTAAGCGGCACAAAATTCGCTCTCCAGAACTCTGTTCAGGCCAAACCTCGTCTGGGCGTAAAAGCAATCTTTGTCAGGACTTAGGAGCGACCATGGCGAGAGAGAGACCTAAAAGAGGCGCGTTGCCTCCCGCCGAGGAGGTAATTAAATGGCTTAACCACCTGTTAATTAGTTACAATTTCTGTTTTAACTGCAAAATAAGAAGTTTTCATGATTGCAAAAGATTAAACTCGGTTCATGGTTAGAATAATTGATCGATCTACATCCGTAATGCCCATACTTTGTTATCGTTTCTTCACGAGAAAAGGAACCCTAAATTAGTTTGAGAAGTTGATATCTCGAAAATGGGATCATGAATTTCAAATATGTTCTTCTACCCAAAAAGTTTCAGATATGTTCATGGATTAACGAATCCTGAAAATCTCTTGGAACTTAGAGATTGTAAAAAACAGCAAAATCTGAGCTTGTACGAACAATTTTATTTGAGAGAAATTGAACGCATTCTTTTTCTGGTTGATTAGTCATCTACGAGGAAACGTCGATAATCTGGTGCCTGGGCTATGACTACTCGACGTTTTGAGCATAATGGTTAATACATCAAATTTTCTGTTGTTTGTGCATGTTCTTTTATATGATTGTAGTTTGCATCGCAGACTTGACAGGGAAGATGTTGAACTATAGCTGGCTTGCTATACATTCTTTATTCTAATTGTCTTGAGCTGCTTTTGCCGTTAAAATGCAGACTATAGAGAAGCTAGGGAAAACCATAAACGATGGAAACCACTATGGTGCCCAACAGATGTACAAGTCTTTTAGTGCAAGGTATATGCATTATCCCTTCTTTAACTTGCAATGATTATTTCTCTGTTTTCTCAGGTTAAATTTCCTCTCTCATTAACATGTATCTGATTTTATTAAAATATTTTGGCTAAGTAATAATAGTGTACTAATTTCAAGTTCAATGCAGTACTGGCATCCCTAATCGTTATTTCAATCACAACAGTGTTGCGTAATATTTTTGAGGCAAATTGGTTCATTTGATAATTGTTTATATGTCAATGCTGGATATTCCATCTTTGTCAAATCCCCAAGTAACCTGGGAAACATTATTTTTGCGTGCCTTAGTTGTTTCTATAAGTCAAGTTTTTCAGGTGGGGCGCCCAACCAAGAGCACCTAGTTTCCCAGGTGATGGTGGGTGCCTAGGTGACACCTTGGTCCTATTTCCTAGACCTTACCAATGCAGTTAATATGATCCTTTTTTTTTTCTTTTAAATCTGAGAGAGTTCAAGAATGCATGCTGGCATTTTTTTTCCTATTCCAAGTTTAAAACTGTTGGCAATCTCTTTTACTATACTTTAAAATTGTTGGCAGTGTCTATGTTTAACACCTTATCCTTTTCTTTCGCCCCTGTTCCATTGGTAATGTTGGCAGGATAAATTTAGGCCCATTTGAAGGCCTTTTATGGCCCTGGTATTGTTACTCCATTTGTCAAGTTGGGGCTTCCAATTAGAAGATTTTCTGAACATGCAAATTAGGGTGCTAACAGGGACCATGTGTTGAACCTTCTTTTAAGGAATTTAGGCATGTCTACTGATGAGAATGTTATACTTGACCACAGATATGTATCTGCTGAGAGATATGCTGAAGCATTGGATATCCTTCAATCAGGTGCTTGCATCCAACTGAAGCATGGGCAGGTCATATTCTTTCAAAGTTCATATCTAAGTAAAGCTAACTCGTATTTTTCTTTTTCTTTTTTTTTTTTTTTGTGTGAATCTTCCCCATATGCAGTAATCAATATTGATGTCAAATTGCTTGCCTGATTTTTTGGAGAGAAGGTATCTTTTTGATATAATGAATCACTGGTACTTTGATTTTCACAGGTTACTTGCGGTGCTGAGCTTGCTGTACTATTTGTGGAGACCCTTGTTAAAGGGAAATTTCCTTGTAATGAGGAAACTCTTGGTCAGTTCTTTTTTCCCTTTCTTTCTTTATTGTTGTTGTTGTATGATTGTTCACACGTATTTGCTCTACCTTTTATTCCAGATTTACTAGGATAAATAAATTGAGCAGTGGCATGAACATATTTCAATACTTCTCATGTTAAAAAAAACTTCTCATGTATTATTGCACCTGCTAACTGCCCTAATTTCTTATAGACGGTAACAATTATCAGCTAGTAGTTTGAGAAAGAGATCCGCTGGTTAAAGAAGTATAAACATATAAATTAACTGATTCCTATGTTTAAAGTGGATGGTATGTCCATACTTTACAGTTTCAAAATAAAAAGGATGTATAGGGAGGTTCTGTCACCTACAGCGATGTAACTTAATCATGAATATGTGCATTTGTACAAGATTCATTCATAGTGACCAAGATAATGACCTTGACAAGCTGATATGGCATGACTCTCCATGTTTTGAACACAGATGAATTGTGAGCTATGTTCATACTCCATGTTTTGAACACATAGCTACCAGATTGTTTTAGTTGGAAAGGAAAACCCAGTTCTAGATGGTGCCACACAGGCCTGATCAAAATTTCACTAATTTGCTTGCATGAGTGAGTCCCAGGTGGCTAGGCCAGTCTGTGCATACATTTCCAGTCCAGACAGTCTCCCATGTGGACTGTACTGTTCGATACATCATTTACCAGACTTAGGAATGTTCCAAGAGTTCTGATTCTGTTTCATACTGAAGAGAATGTTAGGATAGCTGACCTTGGAACAAGGCTGATGATGATGACCACATATGGTTTTAGGATGAGTCCATGGAATCAGCAGATAGGTTTTCCTCTACTAGTCAGCAAATTGGGGTTAAAAATGGTCGGTACCTTCAAAATAAGTTTGGTATCACACCCAGTGTAGATGCAGAAGATTATTTTCATTGATCCATTCACTATATATGCATACATACATGTACACACACATATACACACACATATACATGCATATATGTATGTATGTGTTTGAATTTTGAATAGAATGGAATGGCGGAATGGGATTCATGTAGCCAACCCCATATAGATGGGACAAGGATTAGATGATGAAGATGATGTATGTATGCATGACCGAATAAAATGTTAGGTCCATATCCAGTCTACCCCTCCCAAGACTATGGATGGTGAGAAGCATCATGGGTAATGTCCTTTTATACATATATAAGATCCATATATAGATTCACAGAGTGGAAAATTAACTGCAAGCTAGAAACTAAGCATGGAAACCTATATAGGCTGAGGACTACATAATGGAAACTGGTAAACTAACAACTATACATTACACCGAAGAAAAACACACTATTCTTCACCTATCTCGTGATGAAATCCTTTTTCTTCTAATGTAATTTTCTTTTATTGCTAGTAAAATATATACTCTATGATTTGATATTTTTTACTCAATTTAGAATCAATGAACAACTAATAAATAAAAGTTAATACACAATCTGCTACTATCATATCTCAAAAATTCTTGTAGGTTAAAAAAAATATCAAGATGAGACTGGATTTAATTCAACCTAACCTAGCTGCAGTCCATAATTCTTCTCCTCCTTATGTGTGGTTTGGTTTCTACTATGGGAACTGTGCTAGTTTTCTCATTCTTTTTGGTTTCTCTTTCCTATGAAAAACCCAAAATGTGTATTGTTTGCATCATATCATGACCTATAATGAGCTAGCCCAAATTTTGTAAGTACCCTGCTCATCCTGGACTTGCCCTTCCTTTTGACCTATGAATGGTCCCAAGTCCTGGGTTTGGGGAATGCTCTTCATTTTCTTGTGAACCATTTATTTCAGTTTAATTTATGGATTGGTCTTGTGCTTGCGACTAATTACTGTTTCTAATGGTATCATTCTATCATACACTGGCTCAGAGTAGATGCCATTTTTTTTTGATAAATGGTAAACAGAATTTTATTACTGAAAACAGATGGCAGGATTCCTTAACATCAGGTATACATATGAGCTGATCAAATGACATACAGCAATAATAACAAAAAGTTCTTCCATTACACCACAAAGGACTGGACAAAGATGAGATCAATGATTTCTGAAATCCTCTAGCCTGAATCCAGAAAACTGTTTGAGGATGCCAACCCAACTTGAGACCATACTGTCAATCATGATTTAGAACTAGAAGATTTATTATTTAGCGATATGGTACTGATAGACAAAATTATTTAGCTATATGGTTCTCATTATTGAATGTGTTATCTTGGAACAAATATCTTATGCTAATTATGGATGTAGCAAATTTTGAGCCATTGTTCTTTGGTGGCTTACTTTCATTGGTTGTTGTGCAACACTGAGGCTCATTTTTGCAAAAGAGTTCAGAAACTTTAAGTGTTTCCCTGGTCAATACTATTATGTTAGGTTTCATCTATTTGACAATGGGTCAAATTTTGCCTCCATTATTTCTTGCGTTGCATTATTAATTATCTCATGAGTTCTGCTCTGAGAGGTTAGAGTTGGACAAAATAACTTAGGATGTACTGTTCCTGATCATGTGACTCAAGTTCCAGTCTGTCATTGACTTGCAAATAAGCTCGAAGGAAGACCATTAATGGTATAGGTGATCAGTTTTGTTAACCAGTTTTATTTACATTTTGCCTTTGATCTCATTGTTCTTTTTTTTTTTTTTGATTAGTAAATCCCATTGTTTTGTTTACAGTTATATTTTCAAGATTATGACTAAAAACATTTATGTTAGATCGTATCAGGGAAATCTACAAGATGTTTCCACAGATTTCTGTGCCACAAAAATTAGAGGCCGATGATGACATGGAAAAGCTTTCTGAAGCTTTGGGGGCAGCAAAAACACGTGTAGAGGGTTGCTCATCATTTCTGAAAGCTGCAATTAGGTAACGTCTCTCTATCCTTGATACCTCTTTGTTCAAAAATAGCTATTTTTATTCTTAGTTCTATTTGTCATTTCAATACATGTATTGGACAGGGTATAATTACTACTATTACTATTAACAAAACTCTTGGGTCCCATTTGGTTCGTGGGAATAGGGGTCTGGAATTGGAATGAGCCATTCCGATTCCAAGTGTTTGGTTGGGCAGAATTGGAATCCCATTCCCATTCCTAGTGGAATGATATTCCCCCGTTTGAGGGAATGGCCATTCCCTCCCCCTCCCTTGGGAATGAAATCCCATTCCAGCTGAATCTAATTCCCACTCCAATTCCTGTCTGAACCAAGCAGACTATGAGAATAGAGTATTCCAATTCTGATTCTGACTGTGAACCAAACAGACCCTTAATATTTTAAACCTATTCATTACAAATGTATAATACACATGGTTTCTTTTGCACTTAGTATATATGAGCCTTATTATTGATTATAAAACCATATTTTTCTAAGTTGTTGTTCTCACACCTCTTGGGTTATATATTTTCTTGTTGTATTTCTTTTTTTTTTTGATGGGAAATGGTACTTTCATCAATCTTAAAGGAAAATTAGTACAATTGTCACCTTCATAGATAAGGTGACCCCTCAAAATAAAAACAACTTACAAACACGCCTAGAAAAGAGTTTCCCTACTAACTCCTTGCTTTTCTAAGGTATCAACCATTGCATTTGCTGAACTCCTAGCCCATTTAAAATGCGCTTCAAGCTCCCTTGTTAGGTTTAATATCTTCCTTATAGGCTGTCTAAGGGACCAAGTGCCCAAACTGTTTGCTGCATCCACCTACTACCAATTTTGAATTTCCCTCCACTTCTAACTGTTGAAAACCCAATTGTTTAACCAACTTGGGCCCCTGGAAGAGCACCAAAACTTCTACTCTAAGTGAGTCACCCAATCTTATTGGGCTAGAGAAAAGGGCCAGAACTCTTCCATCCACATTTCTAAAAACACCCTAATTCTAGAGGGGCTAGGATTACCTAAAGAGCGGCCATCAAAATTCAACTTCACACCAAAATGCAAAGGAGGGGACCAATCCTCTTGAAAGGTAATATATGAGCAGGAAGAGCCCGCTACAATGCTCCAACCTCTAAACATATCATCTATAGAGAAGTCCTTGAAGAGATCCAACGATTTCAGCCAATGTATAGCCTTGATGGTAATCCCTTCTATGAGTTCAAGTGCTGTTCTTTCTTACCCTTGGAAAATCCTATTATTTCTCTCTTCCCACTAGGGGTGGCCACGAGACGAGCTTTTCACGAGCTATTCGAGCTCGAGCCTGATATATAGGCTCATTTGCTAATCGAGCCGAGCTCGAGCCAAGTGAAGCTCGGCTCGTGAGCCTAGTATAATAAATTAATAATTTTTTATTATATACATACATACACATACATATACATATACATATACATATACATATACATATACATATACATATACATATACATATACATATACATATACATATACATATACATATA